TTTTTGCAAACCAGGTTCCTCATTCCAGACCCGAGGGCTCTAGATAATGTGTTTCTGTCAATTCAGTGATCCAGAGACCCAAAACTATAATTTAGATAACATGCTGCTTTGCTTCTATAAACTGCTTTTTTGCAAATCAGGTTCCTCATTCCAAACCCTGGGATGTAATCAATACCTTTGTGATCTTTGCCTATATAAACCTGGTGTTTCGGCCATCTTATCACTATGAGATTTGGGAGAGCAAGATGCCCCCTCATAGTCCCGGATTTGCAATAAATGTGACTCTTTAATTCAGAAAAAAAAAAAAAAAGAATTGCACAAAGAGATATGAATAAACAAAACAAAATAATTATAGAAAGTATATAAATTTTTAAATATTCTGTATTATGCATTCATTCAAAAAAGATTTACAGCCATTAAGTACCTGAACATCACTGACCATCATTTTAAATGTGCATGAATTCTCCCAACTCAGAACCTTACTAGGAGCATTTTTCTCTTTGCATTTACATTTTTATGATAATCTAAAAAATATTGAATCTATTCTTGACCACTGGAATAGCCATCTTTAGGCAGTGCTGCCAAATGAGTAGCTTTTAGCACAGCATTTCTCAAAACACCATCTTTGGACATGCTTTCGGGAGATAAAGTCTAAAGTTTGGTCCTCGCCAATTTGGCTCAGTGGATAGAGCTTCAGCCTGAGAACTGAAGGGTCCCCGGTTCGATTCTGGTCAAGGGCACATGCTCCATTGGGGGCTCCAACCCCTGTGTGGGGCATGCAGGAGGTAGCCAATCAATGATTCTCTCTCATCATTGATGTTTCTCTCTCCCTCTCCCTTCCTCTCTGAAATCAATAAAAACATATTTAAAAAAAAAAAGACTAAAGTTTGGAAAAGGTTGTGTTTGATAGGTCTAGGCATGAGTTCTGGCTGAAAAAACTGCCAAAAACTTCTAGTCTTACAGCAGAGGGAAGGAAATGGTTGGTACTAGAGAGGAATTCAAAGGGAACTTCAGCTGAATCCACAATGTTTATAATCTGTTCAAAATCCACTAAATCCAGGTGGTAGCCACCTGGGTGTCTGTTTTGTTCTCAGTACTTTTCGGTATTTTTTAAATTGTCATAATAAAAACAAAGAAAGAAAAGCTTGAGGGGGAGGATAGTGAGAAAATAACTGTGGTAACATTTTAAACACACTTCTTTAACTCCTCAATAGTCAAATACCTTAGAGTAAACAACCTTAACCAAAAATGGAATACAAAATTTTTTTGAAGTCAGACTGGATTATCAGACTTCTAGTTACGAGGTTCCCAGCAAGCCTTTCCGAACCTGTTTCTCATCTATAAATGGAATTAGCAAGCCTATCTTCATGAGGTAATTTTGAAAATAAGACAGAATGAGAAGCACTTAACGCTTGGCCTACAGTGAGCTCTCACTACCTGTTAATGTTAACTTCCTTACTTCTCTTGAGATAAATCTATGTTTTTTAACTCAGTACCATATCCGTTTGATTTGCCTGTTTCAGAGTAGCTGCTTGTTTTGAATGTTACTCCCAAACCCTGGCTGGTTTGGCTCAGTGGTAAGAGTGTTGGCCCACAGACTGAAAGGTCACGGGTTCAATTCCCGGCCAAGGGCACGTACCTTGGTTGCAGGTAAGATCCCTGGCCCCGTCAGGGAGCATGTAGAAGGCAACCAGTCAATGTGTCTCTCTCACATCTATGTTTCTCTCTTTCTGTCTCTTTCTCTGTCTCTCTCTTCCCTTTCTCCCTCCTTTCCACACTCACTAAAGATCAATGGAAAAAATACCCTTGGGTGAGGAATGAATGAATAAATAAATAAATAAATAAATAAATAGCACCTCCAAATTCATGCAGAAGCAGTACCCTACAAATGTTCATTCTTTTTATACCCAACTCTCAATGTACATGGCAAGTATCAATAATGTTCAATCTATTTCGTTCTACCTTATGAGTTGGTATAAATATTGAAAACTCACTTGGAAAACTGTTTTCAAAGTGTTGTCACATTGCACATAGAAATGAGTTAGAAGCACATAAAAAGGGCAACTGATGTATGTTATAAATTGACAGTACAGTAAAGTATATGTCAAATAAAGGATCTCTAGGAAAACCCCTGGGCAGTCCCCCAGGGAGAACATACTCTCTATGAGATGATTTAACACTGCAATGTGGGATGGGAAGATTTTGCTGCACCTTGGGACCATAATTCTCAACTGAACAGGTGGCTCTAGGTTGTTATAATAGTCTGCAGTACGCAGTTTCTGCTGAGCCTGCTTTTTTTCGTCTGTTTTTGTCATAATTTTGAAATACTAAGCTCTCTGCAGCAGGGTCCTCCTCCAATGATGACAGCCCTAGGAAATTATTCTCTATAATTTGGTATCTCCTTGAGCCCAGAGAAAACCTTGAAATGTTTGTGCTGTCCCTTTCTTAAGCATACACATGACTCATTTAGAAAAAAATAACTTGAGAAATTCAGAGTAAGGCAATCAGAAGACTTATGACCTTTCCAGCAAAGTTTCTATCAGGAAGCCCAAGAGTTAGTTACTCATGATATTTGCAGGCGTAAGGTCAATGTTGGTGGGTCAGCTTTCTAGCTGTACTCAGAGTTATCATTGGTCTGACACCTTGTCTGCTGCCTCTGCACAGTGGCTCCCTTCTCTAGACTCCCACAGTACATTGTCCACATCTGTAGTGTGGCTTGAACTATGCTGTATTTAACTGCTATAAGGTAGCAGCCATATGTTACTTTTCTTTTGTGTTTCCAGTAATAAGGCATTGACTAGCACACAGATAGAAAAGGGGGAAGGGGAAGGACAACTGAAGGCCTGATCAGTTCTCCAAAGAGTTAAATTGTATTTGAATAGTAGAAAGAAGTGGTTCCAAACTTTTTCACTGAAATAAGCAACCTCTGTACCTTATCAAAAATGAAACCTTAGCCCTGGCTGGTGTGGCTCAGCTGGCTGTGTGTCGTCCCATGCACTGAAAAGTTGCTAGTTCAATTCCAGGTCAGGGCACATGCTCAGGTTACAGCCTGATCCCCCGTAGGGGTGTGCAGAGGTAGCCAATCGATGTTTCACTACCACATTGATGTTTCTCTCTCTCTCCCTCTCCCTTCTTCTCTCTCTAAAAAATCAATAAAGAATCTTTGAAAAGCAAATGAAACCTTACTTAACTAACAGAACTGTTTTTCATCAATAATAAAAAAGGATCTATGTAATATAAGTAACTAATTCATACCAGAAATTGAATAGTCATTGCCCCATTACTGCATTCACTTGGTACATGGGGTTGCTCTAACTCTCATGTCAGATTTCTGATCAGTACAAAAATGATAATTTTCCAAGTAGTGACAGAAAGAAGTTGGTCCTGGAATAGTCTTGCCCCAAATAGGATAACATTTCCTAAGATTCTCTTTTCTGTACCACCCAGTAAACAATACAACACCAAATTTTGTAGTGAAAAGGCAAAGAAGTCCTAGCCAGTTTGGTTCAGTGAATAGAACGTTGGCCTGCAGACTGAAGGGTCCTGGGTTTGATTCTGGTCAAGGGCACATGCCCAGGTTGCGTGCTTGATCCCCAGTAGGGGGTGTGCAGGAGGCAGCCAATCAATGATTCTCTCTCATCATTGATGTTTCTATCTCTCTCTCCCTCTCCCTTCCTCTATGAAATCAATAAAAATATTTTTTTTTAAAAGGCAAAGAAAATAGTGCATTCATTCATCAGTAGCTACATAGGATACTGGAAGAACGCAAGACCAACAGCATCACCGGTCTAAGGCACTATTCAGCAATCACTTAGCTATGTGGCCAGGGAAGGCCACTGAATTATTCTGGACCTCTGTTTCCATACATATAAAATAAGTGTTCCTACACAGAGTTTGGAAGCACACATTATTTCTTAGAGCTTTCGGATTCTGCTTGGAAGAGAGGGATGGAGAGGAGGGCATACCACACATAAAGGAGAGTCCAAGCAAAGAGGGCTTTTCAACTTGTTCATGAAAACAACTCTAGCTACAATGCTGTTTTATATATGGAAAACCTATATAAGAATTTGTTTAGGGAAAAAAGCTCTACTGCTAAAAAAGGAAAAATGGCCGAAACCGGTTTGGCTCAGTGGATAGAGCGTCGGCCTGCGGACTGAAGGGTCCCGGGTTCGATTCCGGTCAAGGGCATGTACCTGGGTTGCGGGCATATCCCCAGTGGGAGATGTGCAGGAGGCAGCTGATTGATGTTTCTCTCTCATCGATGTTTCTAACTCTCTATCCCTCTCCCTTCTTCTCTGTGGAAAATCAATGAAATATATTTTTAAAAAAATAATAATAAAAAAATAAAAAAGGAAAAATGGCAAATAAAACAAATGGCATATCATCCTATATTCTAAAGCAGCGGTCACCAACCTTTTGGACCTCACAGACCACCAGTGGTCCGCACACCACTGGGTGGTGACTGCTGTTCTAAAGTGTTCTCCCAAACTAATCCAATTTCTCCTTTTATTTCTACGTTAGCGCATATATTAACAAATGGCTACTATCTCATTTAGCATATACTGGATGTCAGTCAGGTGTAAGCATTATACTAGGTACTATGGGACAATGGCCCAACATTTAAAGTCATCTAAGATCAAAATCAGAAATAAATTACAGAGCAAATCTAAAAGCAAAAATCTTCAATTTTTGTCTCTTCTAAGATCTGAGTTATTTTCATGGAGTTATTGGTGCAGAAATTTATGTATTAGCTACAGGCAAGCTCCCATTTTGTTATCTTAATGATTTGCAAAACAGTGAGAAGAGAAGGCAATGACCAAGAGCGGCAGCACTGATGATTCAGGATGAAATTAATGCATACTTTGCAGACTGATAAAAAATTCTGCAAAAACGTCTTATCAGCAATGTGGGAACCTTGCCAGCCATGATCAAAACCAGCCCCATCCAATTTCCAGTTCTAAAATCAACATGATGGGACAAAGGCTATGATTACCACTTACCTTCTTCTAGTATCCCACTCCTCAATTAAACAAATAGGAATGATTCATCCAACGAAGTTCATGACAACAAGGTGCAGGATGGTGCTGGCAAAGAGAAAATCAGCAAAGGCTCGTTCCGGGGAGATGCCTTGGAAATCCGCTTTGTTCTGTGGGTTGATCTGTATTCTCAGACAAACTACACAAGAAGCAAAACACAAAAATTATCATCTAAAAGTATAAAACAAATGACTGCTAATGAACACATACATACCCAATGACCCAACAATTCCATTCTAACAGGTATGATAACCATGACAACCCCAAACTGGAAACAATTTAAATGTCTATCAACAGTAAGATGGATAAGTTATAGCATATGCATACAATAAACACTATATATGAAGAAAGAAGAGGGAGGGGATATTGGAAGAAAATTGGTAAAAAGGTACAATCTTCCATATAATAAAAGCCTAATATGCTAAGTGTCCAGTCGTCTGGTCGTCCATTCAACCAATCAAAGCATAATATGCTAATGATATGCTAAGGCCACTTAACCACTCACTATGACGTTCACTGACCACCAGGGGGCAGATGCTCCAATCGGTAGGTTAGCTTGCTACTGGGGTCTGGCCAATTGGGACTGGATAGGGACTGAGCAAGACAGGCCGGACACACTCTGGAGCCCTCCCAAGTTGGCCTCCCCAGCTGGCCAACCTCCTGCATCCCTCCCCAACCCCAATTGTGCAATGGCGGCGTCCCTTGGCCTGGCCTGCGCCCTCTCACAATCCAGGACCCCTCAGGAGATGTCGGAGAGCCAGTTTCAGCCAGATCTTGCAGGCCAGGACAAAGGATCCCACTGGTGCACGAATTCAAGCACCAGGCCTCTAGTCCAGTTATAAAATAAGTAGGTACTAGGAATGTAATGTACAGCATGATGATAATAGCTAACACTGCTACATGAAATATAAGACAGTTGTTAAGCAAGTTCTAATCACAAGAAGAAAATTTTTTCGTTTCTTTTTTCCTTTTTATTGTATCTATATGAAAAGATAAATATTAATTGAATCTTTATGGTAATCATTTTACAGTATATGTAAATAAAACCATCATGGTATATGCTTTAAATTTACACAGTGATGTATGTCATAAAACTGGAGGGAAGAAGGGGCTCAGCAAAAAACAAAACAAAAATCTTCACAACATGGATAAATTCTACAAATATAATGTTGAGCAACATAATACAGACACAAAAAATACACGTATTATTTCATTTATGTAAAGCTTAAAATAAGGCAAAACCAACTTATGGTAAAATACAAGCCAGGATTAGTGGTTTTTCTCTTTCATAGTAGGGATAACTAATAAGATGCAAGGTAGAGGTCTCTAGAGTGCTGGTAATGTTCTATAGCTTGACATCAAGCTATAGAACTCATCAAGACAGACAGATGTGGTAGGGGTGGGAGTTGCAGGGTACTGAGCAAAAAGAAAACTCATGGACAACAGTGTGGTGATTGCAGAGGGAGGGAGATGGAAGAGAGCATAGAGGGGATAAATGATGATGGAAAAAATAAAATAAAGATTAAATTTTAAAAACCCATCAAGTTGTACACTTAAGTGTTATGCTCTTATTTGTGAAAGGAAAAAATATAACCTCATAGAGTTATGCTAAAAAGAAAGGCTTACTTAGAAAAAAGAAAAAAAAAAAAAAAATATATATATATATATATATATATATATATGAAACCAAAAATCTTTAGAACTCTCTTATCTCCTGATTAAATTATAACCTAGATTAGAAAGTAGTTGAGGGCAGTAACAATGGGGCTGGGTTGAATGACAAAAAGTTATAAAACTGTAAATTATTTTCAACATAGTGAATATTGGATAGCAGAAATTATAAACATAAAATGCTTATCTGTGAGGACCTCATAATTGTAGAAAATCTTTAATCTCAAAAAAGGCAAAAGACCTAAGCTACATTGACTTGACAGAGAACTCTCCACTGCCACATTCTACAGCCTTAAAGATTCCAACCTGATACATTAGCCACAGTCACTATTTGACATGAAAAGGGAGCTCCAGGAATACACTTTCTAAAAATATCTTTATGCCTGTGATAAATGATTACACTGCTTAAGAAAACTCAAATTTGCTTCAGGCTAACATCCATCCCATCACTAAGAAAAGGAAAAGAACTGAGATCTAATCCGAAGGTCAGAAAACTACCAGTCTACTTCTCCATAATCCATCACCTCAACAACAATTTCCATTATGCTAAAACATGTAAACACTGTAGAAGCACCACTGATCTTTTCAAGTACCTGGACCCTTCAAAATATAAAGGACAGTGACTAAAGCAAGGGCAACCAATTAAAATCCTGCTGTGGATGGAGTACAGATTGGTTCATGCATTTCAGAGAACTGGCAATACATTAATATTTAAAATGTTTGTACCTTTTGACTGTGGAATTTCTTTTATAGAACAACTAGAGACCCAGTGCACAAAAATTCATGCACTTGGTGGGGGGGCGGGGGACCGGGCCCTCAGCCCGGCCTGCACCCTCTCGCCATCCGGGAGCCCTCAGGGGCTTAAGCCACAGTCTGGCCTCCCTCTGTGGGAGGTGACCGGCGGGCCAATCAGGGGACAGCGCCCACCGGCGAGCAGCCAACCCTGCCCCCCAATCACCCCTCCACCACCGCCAGTTGCCACCTCTGCCCACCCTCCCCTTCACCATCCCCTCCCTCTGCCCGCTGGCACCCACCTTGGCTGGCCCACTTGCTGGCCCCACCCACTGCTGACCATTCCGCAATTTGGTCATTTTGCATATTAGGCTTTTATTATATAGGATGACATTCTAACAGCAAATTAGTAACATTGAAAAAAATATATAAAGTGTCATCAAGGGATTTAAATAAATTATACTATATACATGCAGTGAAATTTCATGCAATCATTCAAAAGAATGATTTAAATCTCTATAGCTTGACAGTAAAGATATCTAAGACATATTATATGAAAAAGAAGTATTCCATTCCACATTTCTGCTTTTAAAATGGGGAGGGTGGAGAGAGAGAGAGAATTATTTTCTCATTTATTTTAGTTGGACTCTAGGAAAATCTGGAGGAATAAATACCAAATTACTAATAGTGGCTATTGGAGTGGAGAACAGGAGTAGTGTTTCAGGAAATATGAGGGGACAAAAGAAAAGAGAAGCTCCCAATGAAGGTAGGTATGAAAATTGATGTATTATCATTATCATGATCACAGTAACCCAAGTTATTACAATGACAATATAAGTATATTGCCCTGCTGAGATGCAAAGGACTGAAGGTCATAAAGACCAACACTCCACTTAGTGCATAAAATGCCCAAGAGGTGGTAGGGGTGAGTACACTGGAGGGAAGCTGCATGAATTACCTCATCATTCCAGAATCGGATAAGCTGTACCCAGTTGAATAGTCACCTTCCAGAGTCTATTGATAGGGGTGTCATATCATTGAGTTGGGGTACACAAAAGGCAATGAACACTTGTTCAAAAAGCTCCTCCACAAATGATCTTTCAGTCTCTCTGTGAGCACTTCCAAAGTTGGAAATTTACGACCTCCTGAGGCAGCTTGCTCCATTTTAGAAGTTCTAATTTAATCTATGTCCTTAAATGTTATTCATTCAGCAGAGGCTTTCAGTCAAGATGGTGGTGTAGGAAAAGAAGTACTCATCGCCTCCCACAAGCACATCAAAATTTACAACTAAAACAGAGAACAACCAGTATTCAGACCCACCTAAAATCTAGCTGAATGAAGTCCTACAACTAAGGATTCAAGAAAAAGCACATGGAAACTGGCAGGAGGGGCGGAGACACAGGAAGGAATCTCAGACCCAGTTGGTCCCACATCCACATGTGGCAGTTTAAAAAGGGGAGGGATATTTTAGCTGTGGAGGTTTCCCTGAGAAGTGAGGGGTCCCTGCCCCACACCAAGCCCTCAGTCCAGCATTCCAATGCTGGAAAGAGAAGTCCCCACAACTTCTGGCTGTGAGAACCAGAGGGGATTGTGGCTGAGTGACACGGAAGCTGCAGGAGTCCCAGGCAGTTCCTCTTAAAGGGCCAGTGCATGGCCCTACTTAGACTCACTCCCTCTGAGCTCCAGCGCTGGGGCAGCAGCATAAAAGGAACATGGAACATGCAGGGAGGAACTAACTTGTCTGGAATCGGGGCAAGACCTGGAGGAACAGCTTTCTCTCAGACAGAAGTTGCTGCCAAAGGCCAGTGTTCCTTTGGTGAGACCACCTGCCATAGAGCTGTCAGGCTTCGCCATATCTGAATCTCCTTCAACCTGGCTCACACTTTTTACCCCACCTTGGTGATTCCCTGTGACCCTGCTCCTCCCTACTTGCAGGCTCATCCAAGCCATTTCCAGGGGCTTTTCCATACAACTGGCCTCTCTGCCTCATGCTTTGGACTTTCCTAAAATCTCTCAAACAAGCAGCAGCTGGCATCAGTGTGCCCCAAACCTCTCAGTAAGTGGCCCCAGGCCTGGCACTAGCGACAGCCCACCCTGGTTCACAGCTTGGCCTCTCCTGAGCACCTCCAAGCTCAACAGAAGTAGCAGTCATCTGCAGGTTGCTTTGTAGCTCATGCTAGGTGGCTCCATGCAGGACATAGGCAAAGGCTGACTTTGCACCTCCCAGAAGGTCTCAGAGCCAGTGCACCCAGTGGTCAACTTCAACTACGCCAGATTACAACCCTTCCAACTCCACCAGTGACACATTCAAGGGGCAGACTTGGTGAGCATCAAAGCCCCACTGAAGCAAGTCCTACTCCACAGGGTCAGCCCCTGCACAGCAGATCTTCCACTATAGTCATAACCAATCCTTGCAACCGATTAGCCTGGGTTGGTCCCTCCCAGTGACGCCAACATAAATCAAGGCTCAACTATAATAGGACAGTGCACACAGCTCACAGAGGGGTGCACTAGAAGTGCCCAGCTCAGGTGACTGGGGAGGCTGAGCCACTGGGCCCTATACAAGACCATGCTACCAATTCCAGAAGACATAGCAGATCTACCTGATACATAGAAACAAACACAGGTAAGCAGCCAAAATGCAGAGATAAAGAAACATGTCATAGATGAAAGAACAGGAGAAATCTTCAGAAAAAGAACTAAAATGAAATGGAAACAAGAAAACTACCAGATACA